CAGCCTGCCCAGGGAGGTGGTGGAGTCACCATCCCTGGAGGTATTTAAGAACCGTGTAGACGTGGCTCTTCAGGGCATGCTCTAGTACCCAATATTATAGGTTTGTGGTGGGGTGTAGTATATATTTTCTTTTTTTTTTTAATTTTTTTTTTTTTCTTTTGTGGTTGGACTCAATGATCTCGGAGGTCCCTTCCAACCACTAAGATTCTGTGATTCTGTGGTGGAAGGGAGGGACCGTCCCAGGGGATGAAGGGAGCATTTTGGGGGGATGGAGGGACCAACCCAGGGGATGGAGGGACCATCATGGGGGAACGGAGGGACCGTCACGGGGGATCTCACCTTTCAGCCATTCGCAGTTGTACTTGCTGTATATGCCCCTGGACTGGAGCACGATGTGGGTTCCTGTCCAATAGTAGGCAATGTTGGCCACCATGAATCTCTCGTAGGGTGGGATGAGGACCTCCTCCTCATTGGGAAAGAAGGAAAAGTGCCTGATGGGAACGCCATAGCAGGTGTACACTGAGAAGAAGGTGTCCTGGCCGAACTGTGCAGCTGTCTTCTTCACAAAGGAGGTGGAAGTGAATTGGCCAAAGCGGACAAAATCATGGAGCTGGGCGGTGAAGCGGATGCCACGGACGCCCCGATAGACGTGGTAGCAGTTTGGCTGGGCATGCCACAGGATTTTCAGGGCCTGGGTCAGGAGGTAATGCAGCGTCTTGAAGTGAAATTTGTACAGATATTCCTTGTGGGAGCTCCCAGCCTTGCGCATGGCAGCGTTGAAGGTCTGGTACAAGCCTCCAGGCATGGTGTAGGCCAGAAGGGCCGTTGCATGCTCTGCCCGCAGCGCTGGTGGCCTGGGGACATAAGCCGCCCTCTTCTGCCATTTGTCAGCGGCCAGGGGCCAGTACTTGGCGTAGATGCTGTTTTTGGTGAGCTCCATCTGGTGGAGCTTCCCCAGCTCCTTATCCATTTGGTGGCCGCAGCCCCGGTACTGGTCATCGAAGGAGGTGGGGGCCATGTCCAGCCTGATCTGCTTGATGGGCCCCAGATCCTTCAGGGGGTTTCCAGGGGCCAGGGTCCCAGCAAACAGCACCAATCCCAGCACCAGGTGCTCCATGGACACGGACCTGTTGGAAAGAGTCCATTCGAGGGCCATGGAGATGCTCCAATGGCTGGAACCCCCCTGCTCTGAGGACAGGGAAAGCTGTGACATGGAGGTATTGACAGTGGTGGCAGAGGGGTCATCCATCCTCCCCGCTCCCCAGGCACTGCTTGGAGGACTCACAGTGGGGGTGTGTGGGGGGCAGCACCCTGGTCCCCGCACGGCTGCAGCCCCCTCATGTTCCCCCACGGTTTCTGGGGGTCCTTGGACAAACCCTGGTTACCCACCTGCCGGGAGGAAGGAGCCCAAATCCCTGGAACCTGCTGTGAATTCCCGAGGAGCTTCCCTGCAGCCGCTGCCCCGTCTGGGTCTCACCCTGCCCCGGGGGGAGATGGGCACCCTCGGGGAAGGGGTTATATCTAACTCAGCGGTGGTTGGCGCGATGGTCACAGCTCTCGTGGTCCATCCCACCACCCCAGGAACCCTTCTTCTGTGCCTGGAAGATGCTGGACCTTCTCGGAAAGGGCTGGGGTTGTGCAAGGGGGTTGGTTCACTGTGGTAAGATTGGGATAAGAGTGTCTTCACCATCAGGTGATAAAATGCAGATAAGAGTAGCTCCACAAACTTAACTGAAGTTAACTGAAATTGCAGGGGCGAGATAACCAACAAATTGGGGAAATAACCAAAACTGCAAAAGTTAGACAACTGAAAAACCACAAAAGTTAGACTTTTATGTAACAGGCAGATTGAGAAGTCTGTACCTTCCAAGTCTCTCAGCCAATGGGGAAAGGAAGAGGGGTACATGCGGGTGGGGAATTAGGATAAAGTGGAGGTTGTGTCCTCTGGCAAGTGGAGAGACCCCGCAGGGGAATGCCCCAGTGGACTCTCCCTTCAAAGAGAGTCTTTAGAATCTTTGAATCATCTGGGTTGGAAGGGACCTTTCAGATCATCGAGTCCAACCATCAACCTGACTATGTCAAAAAAACACCAATAACCATGTCACTAAGCGCTATGTCAACCCATCTTTTGAACTCCTCCAGGGATGGTGCCTCAACCCCTTCCCTGGGCAGCCCGTTCCAACGTGCAATAGCCCTTTCTGTGTAAACATTTTTCCTGCTATCCAACCTGAACCTCCCCTGGGGCAACTTGAGGCCGTTTCCTCTTGTCCCAGGGCCTGTTCCTTGGGAGAAGAGACCAACCCCCCCTGCTTACACCCTCCTTTCAGGGAGTTGGAGAGAGCCAGAAGGTCTTCCTTCAGCCTCCTTTTCTCCAGGCTCAACACCCCCAGCTCCCTCAGAAGTTCTCCAGACCCTTCTCCTTGTGCTCCAGAGCCCTCGCCACCTCTGTTGCCTTTCTCTGAACCCGCTCCAGCCTCTCAAGGTCTTTCCTGTCAGGCGGGGCCCAAAGCTGGGCCCAGCACTCCAAGTGGGGCCTCACCAGTGCCCACTCCAGGGGGACAATCACCTCTCGAGTCCTACTCACCACACTGTACCTGACACAGGCCAGGATGCTGGTGGCCTTCTTGGCCACCTGGGCACACTGCTGGCTCAAGTTCAGATGACAGTCAATCAACACCCCCAGGTCCTTTTCCATGGGGCAGCTCCAGCCACTCTGCCCCCAGCCTGGAGCACTGCAGGGGGTTGGTGTGACACAAATACAGGACCCGTCACTTGGCCTTGGTGAACCTCATCCTGTTGGTCTCAGGTCATCCATCCAGCCTGTCCAGGTCCCTCTG